CACACGGGTCATACATGGGTTATACACGGGTCACACAAGGGTTATACATGGGTCTCACATGGGTCACACACGGGCTTTACACGGGTGATACACGGGCTATACATGGGTCTCACATGGGCCACACAGGTTTTACACTGGTTATACACGGGTTATACACGGATTATACATGGGTCACATACGGTTTATACACGGGTTATATATGGGTCTCACATAAGTTATATACGGGTTATATACACGAGTTATACAAGGGTTATAAATGGGTCTCACATGGGTTATACACGGGTTATACATGGGTCTCACGTGGGTTATACACGGGTTACTCATGGGTTACACACGGGTTATATACGGGTCACATACGGGTTAAACATCTCTAGCTCACATGAGAGAGACGACTAGAGTAAGGTTTAGAGCCCTGTTTAGACTCCTCCTTGGTGTCGTCGGCAACAACTTAGTTGTGAAGCATCACATGCTGTTACTTGTCTTTATTTGATAAGTCAAAGTGATAGATTCTATTTATCATTCTTAACATACTTATCGTACTTATCATACTTGTCATTCGTATCATACTTATTATACGTGTCATGGGTATCATACATACTTGTATTGGAGTTAGTCTCTTCATTATTACTGCACCTTGATATTAAAAAGTTTTGATAAGGGACATAATCCAGTATATAATTTAGAATTGTAACACAAATAGGTTGCTTCCCCTAATGTCTTAATTCTTAATCGGGTTCCTAAAGGAAAAAAAACCTATATTCTTGCAGTGATATACTTACTTATAGTGGGGAGGGGCAGAGGCGTAGCGACCCTTCCCGGCGCCCGGGGACAAACTTTCGATTTGCACCCCCCTCCCTACTTCAAACTTTCGATTTGCACCCCCCCCCCTTCAAACTTTTGATTTGCACCCCCTCCCTCAAACTTTTGATTTGCACCCCTCCCCCCTAAAACTTTTAATTTGTTTTTCCCCCTAAGGTCGGCGCCCGAGGTCACATGTCCCCCCCCCCCCGCTACGCCTCTGGGGAGGGGGTAACCCCCGCCCCCCTTCTATATGCACAGTCGAGATTTTAAAAGGGGGAGTGAGTATAGGGTGAGTTGATTCTAATTAATTTCTTCACATCAACATGCCAACATATTGTATATTGCTAGTAGGTACGTATACCCTATATATATATATATATATATATATATATATATATATATATATATATATATATATATATATATATATATATATATATATATATATATATATATATATATATAAAGCAAAGTGGTCGGGTGCCCGATAGGGCAATTCCCGGCACCGCAGGCACGTCAAATTTGGTACAATGGTGCCTTGGGGCAATAGAACACGAGGGCCGGTGACGGTTTGCCGAAAAGTCTACAGAGAGGGGGTTAAAACTGACCTCGACTGACCGGCGACTTATATGGAATACATTACGAAAAATTTTTTCCTCCGACGACCCCCCTTGAAATTTTGTGAGGTGGTAGGAGAACGCCTTGTGGTGTCACAAAAAACTCGCCATGTCCGGGAAAATTCGTTAAATGGGTCAAAACTGACCAGTCGTATTTCCCTATATAATCTTTGTATTTTATGGGAAAAACAGAGGGTGATTTCAAAACGGATTTTAGGGCACTTACCTTCTTTACATCTGGCTAATGTTTTGCATGCTCTTAGGTAAATGGCTTGACCATTAGGGAAAACTGGCGGTTTGACTCAAAGCCCTCGGCGAGGGCTAAAAAGTGACCGCGAGTGAAATTCTCTTTATATGAGATCTATTACGAAAAAAAATTTCCTCCAACGACCCCCCTTAAAATTTTGTGAGGTGGTAGGAGAACGCCTTGGGGTGTCACAAAAAACTCGCCATGTCCGGGAAAATTCGTTAAATGGGTCAAAACTGACCAGTCGTATTTCCCTATATAATCTTTGTATTTTATGGGAAAAACAGAGGGTGATTTCAAAACGGATTTTAGGGCACTTACCGTCTTTACATCTGGCTAATTTTTTGCATGCTCTTAGGTAAATGGCTTGACCTTTCGGGAAAACTGTCGGTTTCACTCAAAAGTGACCGCGAGTGAAATTCTCTTTATGTGAGCTCTATTACGAAAAAAAATTTCCTCCGACGACACCCCTTGAAATTTTGTGAGGTGGTGGGAGAACGCCTTGGGGTGTTACTAAAAACTCGCCATGTCCGGGAAAATTCGTTAAATGGGTAAAAACTGACCAGTCGTATTTCCCTATATAATCTTTGTATTTTATGGGGAAAACAGAGGGTGATTTCAAAATGGATTTTAGGGCACTTACCGTCTTTACATCTGGCTAATTTTTTGTATACACCTCTATAGATGACTACGCCGTATGGAAAAAATGTTGGTCAGACTTAAAGCCCTCTAAGAGAGCTAAAAATGACCGCGAGTGAAATTCTCATTATACGAGATCTGTTTATTTGGTCTATGAATAGGCGAGGTAACTTTTTAATGTAATAATTTATAAATATTTTGTATACTCTTTTTTTAAAAAAAAACAAAAATCATAAAGTCTAGCATTGTTTAAATAAATATTTTGTTACAAATTAAGTTTTGCATTGTATTGAAATTATAAAAAAATTTTGCGAAAGTTATTTAATATAATGTTAGATTTATACTATTAAGAAACCCCTTGCAGTTCTAATAACCGTGCGAGTAATAAGTTTGCGAATATTCCATCAATATTTGGGTGACATCAATTTACTCCACTGTATAAATTTAGGCCCTAAGCATTTAACATAGTAGCCAATCACCTATTAATTAATCCTTCAATTCCTCAATTTTCTTGAAAACCTAAGCGAAGCTAGGCAGTATGCCTAGTATATATATATATATATATATATATATATATATATATATATATATATATATATATATATATATATATATAAATACATATTTCATTGAAGGTAGAATTTCATATGCGGGGCTATTTTTTGAGTATTTTCTAGCAAGGTTACATATAAAAATACAGTTTTTATTTCTGATTTAGCATGAGCAGGGAGATAAAAAATAAATCTAGTTTCAGGTTGGGCTGATAGCTAGTAGGTTGTCTCCAGCAGTAACATATATAATCAGCCTAATCATGACGTGCAGATTATGAAAAAGTTGGGCGTCAAATTTTCACGAAAAACGAGGTAGCAGGTTTTGAAGATAAAAATGGAACACACGCAGAGACTGTTAAATTTTTTAAATTTGTCGGACATATCGTATTAATTTACAGGCAGTGCCGCCCTAGTGGCTGGGATTAAGATCTAATCATGAATACAGGCGCCTTTTTCATCGTGCTGCAGTCAACGCCTAGACCTTTTTTTAACAACACACCACGTTTTGAGGCTACTACATCGACTGAAAAAGTTATGCCATGGTTGTTTTCTTTGGATTATTTGATTCAAAACTTCATCGCTAGAGACGGAACAATATATATTTTTAGTAAAAGTAGATTTTAAGCGTTAGTTAGCCTATATACACGGATTAAATTTACTGTATTAAAAAAAAAGTGTAAGTATAAGTAGCGCTTGTTTTTATCTTTTTTTAAGTAGTTTTGTTTTTAATATAGTTTTAGTGTATTTTCAGTCGTTTTTTTAAAACGTATAGTTGATTATGAACATATTATGTAACTAACAAATTGACATATTTAAACGACTTTCGTCGTCAATAAAAGAATATAAAACTTTGATAGGTGGTGTATGGGCCGCCACCCAAAGAGTCCTCTGCCCTGTGCCATTTTCTCAACCTGACACCAGGTGTAGCCTATCTTTGTAGTTTCAGCCTCAGGGTCCCGTCTCCATGTGTTTAGGGTCGACATCTTTACCGCTTTCCTTGTGGGTTCCGCTTCAGTGCCTGCCTGTTGATGTTGGTTAGCTGTCTATGTAGTGTTTGCTGTATACAACTCCATTTTCTTATCCCAATTTCGTCTTCAGCAGAAAGTTGCCCTGTCGATTCTCACAGGTGTGGGTTGTTGATGGTTTCGGGCCAGTGGATCCGGAGTATTTGTCTGAGGCAGAAGTTTATAAAGGTCTGGACTTTATCAATGGTGGACCTTGTCATCCCCCCCCCCCCCCCCCCCCGAAGATATGCCTGGAAGAAACTCTGTAAATAACTGTCTTTACTCCTAGGGAGCTCCACCAATTGTAACCCACCCGGTGCTGGCGGCGTTAATCTTCAGTACTTTTGTGGGGTCGGCGTGGTCGTGTCGGTAAAGCTCATGGTTGCTAAACCGAAAAGTCTCGAGTTCGAACCCTCGGGCAGATGAGGCTCGTTAGCTGGGGACAGCTACTCTTCTAGGAGAGACAACTCCAAAATCAAACAACTGCTGCCTTGTAGTTTGTTCTTGGCTGGACAAAGGCTATGGAAGCAAATCCAAAAAGAAAAGCAGGCTGAAATCGGAGTCAATGGCCTCAATGGCGCAAAACCAGTTGACACGTGACGCTTAATTGTGTTGGGGGCGTGGTCGAGTCGGCAAAAAAGCTCATGGTTGATAAATTCGAACAAAGTCTCTAGTTCAAACCCACTGGCAGATAAATCTCGATCCCCTTCAACACTAATAATTAAGAACGAAGAAGAAGAAGAAGAAGTACTTTTGTCTCTTGTTTGTCGATGTTAAGTCCAACTTTGTCCTGACTTTTCTGCCTCCATGTGTGTTTTTTTCCTGCGTCTGCTGGTGGTTGTGGGAGAGGAGCGCGATGTCGTCTGCTAAGTCCAAGTGGTCAAGTTGTTTGAGTATGCCATCATTACCTACCACTTAAAACACTATATAACAAGATACATATCTACCACATTCCCTGTATTAATGATGTATAATTGTGTGCGCAATCCCTCACATTTTGAAAAAATTTTTAGCAGAACTTGAACTTAAAAGTCTAAAAAACAAACATCTGAATTACGAGTTACATCTCTCCATGTTTAATGAAAGTTTTAGAGAGGAATTTTAAAAAGCGTTAATTAATTATTATTAATATTTTGTTTTGCATGAATAAAATTCGAAAGCAGGAAAGTGTTATCTATTTGAATCTAATCACTTTTTTCCAAACACCAGGAGGAAACACAACTCCGCTAAAATCAGATTACACAAGTAGTAACTTCCCCTGTTCAAGTCTATCACGACCAACAGGTTTCATCATTTCAATGAACAAAAACATTACTTGTTTACATGCGATTCAGGAGATCCATGTTTTGAAACCCTGTCTGCTGTGTTTCGGTAAGTTATTGCTAAAAATTACTATCTATTTAATACCAAAACCTTGATTTAAGTCTGTTTTTTTAAATAATTGGTAGAAAAATCGTGCATTTCGCAACATCTCCAATAAAACAACCCAACATCAAAAGCTATGCCTGACAACATTATATACATCACAAAATACAAAGTCGTATATCACAACATATTGGTAAAGATATAGATAAATCCTGAGTCGTACATAATAATATCTAAGCTGAACAATACAACAATAATATCTAAGTAGAACAATCGAACAATAATATCTAGGTAGAAAAAATACACCAATAACATCTAAGCAGAACAATACAACACTAAAATATCTAAGTAGAACAATCCAACAATAATATCTAGGTAGAAAAAATACATCAATAACATCTAAGCAGAACAATACAACAATAAAATATCTAAGTAGAACAATCCAACAATAATATTTAAGTACAACAATACAACAATAATATCTAAGTACAGCAATCCAACAATAATATTGAGCAGAACAATCCAACAACGTATAGCACACATCCCATTATCTAACTAAAACATCCATCAATCCTAAGCCTCAAATCTTATCAAAATATCCCAACATCACTACGTTTAAGCGAAGCCACAAAACATCCTAGTTGCCTCTACTTTCCCCTACATTTTTCAACAGCTCAGATACCATCTCAACCCTCCTGACATAAACATTAGAATCACTCGATCTCTGCTTGAAGCACTAGCTAACTATCTACAGCCTGTATGTTCGAGGTCTGTTATGTGCTAGACCAGAACATAATCCCCACGCGTCAGAACATCTTTTGTTGTTGATCACGACACCTTTTACATCACCGTAAGCTCATAGGGTAGGTGTGTTACTCGACACGAGGGCTGTGGAGTTCTATTGTATAGGTGTACCTGTCTGGTGTAGTTAGGATTGTACCTACCTACCCCCCCCCCCCCCCCACACACACACACTATTACATCACAGCCAAGTTGAAAACAGCGTGCTCCAGATTTATAAATGCATTGGTTTATTGGTCTATATAACAAGCAGAGTTTCTTTCAGGCATCTCTCCGTTAAGGCACTAACCCCACCCTGAGCAGTTCACCCTTCCCCCCCCCCCCCCCGCCCCCGGACGAAATAGAAAAAAATAATTATTTATATACAAAATAAATACTTTGAACAGTTACAGACACCTGGAATTTTCAATTGCCCTATACCCCATCCCCATTAAAGTTTTAAGAACCCCCGCCCCCAGTGTAGAAGAATGTCCGAAAGAAACTCTGCTAAATTTTATAATTTTTCATGACATTGACAACGAGAAGCTTCCATTCCCAGCACTATGTGATCAGTCTTAGCTACACTCAGCCCCCCCCCCCCCGCCCCGCCCCGCCCCACCAGCTCGTACTATCGGCCCTGGAAGAGCACATGTGATACAACAGGACTAGTGTTAGTATTGTCATACTACAAAAATATTACATCAACACAGTTGATTCTGAGTCTGATGATTGGCTTAAACTAACGAGGTAGTAAAATGTTGGTGTCACCCTGTGTCACACTGTATTATGTTGGTGCCATTCAGAGCCACACTACATGTTGGTGTCACCCTATATCACTCTACATCATGTGTCATCCATTGTCACGCTACATGTTGGTGTCATTCAGTGCCACACTACATGTTGGTGTCAACCTGTGTCACTCTATATGTTGATGTCATCCAGTGTCACGCTACATGTTGGTGTCATTCAGTGCCACACTTCATGTTAGTGCCATCCATTGCCATACTATATTATGTTGGTGTCATTCATTGCCATACTAAACGTTCTTGTCATCCAGTGTCACACTACATGATGGTGTCATTCTGTGCCACACTATATTGGTGACATTCAGTGCCATACTAAACATTCGTGTCACCCTGTGTCACATTGTGTCATATCACTGTCCGAAGATTGAAGTGTGAAATATCGTGAGCTAGACAATAATTTTCTTACAGTTTTGTTCCAATGATAGCTCCAGTGGCGTAGCGAGGTCGGGTGTCACCCGGTGCGGCACTTAATAGTGTCACCCCCCCCCCCCCCCCAGAGGCATAGAGACCCTTCCCAGGGACAAACTTTCAAATTTTCGATTTGCACCCCCCTCAAACTTTCGATTTGCACCCCCCCCCCCCCCCTCAAGTTTTCGATTTGCACCCCCCCCCCCCTCAAGTTTTCGATTTGCACCCCCCCCCAAACTTTCGATTTGCACCCCCCCTCGAGTTTTCGATTTGCATCCCCCCCCCCCCCCTCAAACTTTCGATTTGCACCCCCGTCGAGTTTTTCTCTATATATTTTGCTATTTTTTGCCTTGGTGTCACCCCCCTAAATGGTGTCACCCGGTGCGGTCCGCACCCCCCGCCCCCCCCCCCTCGCTACGCCCCTGGATAGCTCTTCTATGTTTGCGCCAAGGGTGAGGACTGCAAACCTCTAGCCAGGGCACCATATCTCAAGGTTTCAGAAAATTATTCAATCTATCATCTAGCTCTCTACCGCTAGGCCACGCCGTCCCATATTCAATCAGTACTGATTTGAAATATGCCCTAAATGTCTTACTGGTGACAAATGTGTTTTGTGGTTTTTATGGAAGAATAATAAAAATCCATCCAATATGTATTATACCTGACTGATTTCCTGATATTGATTTTAACACCTTGAACTCATACTATCTAGATTCTAGATCTACTTCACTAAATCTTTTAAAAATTTCTTACAAATATTGTAACTAATGTAACTAATGTAACTAATGTAACCAAAATAACAAAAAAAAAATCATATACGTGTTGTTTTTTTTTTTTCTTTTTGCGTGGTTGAATTATAACCACGCAAAAAAAAAAAAAAAAAAAAAAACAATTTCAAAAGAGTAAATTTGAAGAAAAACTTAAGTGAGGAAATGGCCTTTGAAACGAGTTCACTTCTGCTATAACTGTCCTAGCTTTGAAGTGGGCACTACCAAACACTTTAGGTGTACTACAACACGCCTACTCAAAATAAATCTCACTAGACTTAATGACATTGTAAAGGAGGCCATCGTAGAACATAGGACATATTCGAGATATATATCTTCATATAATTTAGTCATTTCAATCTTAATAAACTCTAAATATATTTCTCCACTGTATGATGCATATTCAGCATTTATCTTAATTATTTTTTTAAAAAATCTGAATAAAGAAGTCCTCATTATCTTGGCTGTAATAAGTGACTCATTCTAAACGATTTAACGTAAGCGTGTTGAGGCATCTTTAGAATAGCATCCAGTGTCAAGTACCAGAGATTCTCACTCTGTGTGTACCGACACATTCAAGGAGTAAAACGTTGATATGTTGTTAGTGTTGGATCTTATTTATAAATTAATATAAATACACAAAAGGTAAATTTCCGCTTTGTTTAAAGATTGTTTTAATGAAAAAAATGGCAATAAAATAATTTATGCCAACCGTGTAGCTAGTATAGAAGTTGGTCTGTTCCAAGCGAACTCTATTTTGTAAAAAAAAGAAACATGTAACAGTTTCACACGGCCATATAAAATGTAAAGGCTATAAAAATCAATTGTCAAATGTATTAGCCACTACTGGGTTGCACCAGTGTTTGTCGAGGTTATCTCAAACAATGTCACAGGTTGGTTCTGTTATGGGAACTTTTTAAAAGATGGGTAAATTTTCATCTCAGAAGTCAACTTTTTATGTATGTTAAACAGGGTGGGTTCTAGAGTGAACTATGATTTCTGACTGTCTTTAAAATATCTATGTGTGATTGTTGTTTAGTCATGCCATAGCTTAAATCCAGCCCTCAATACCCAACCACTCCCAACCCACCACGCTGAGGTGTGTTGAATGTCTATTACTGTAACCTATAAAATAATCTGGCTATTGCTGTAATACCTAATTTGTATTATTGATCACCTGAAACTTAAGAGTACTTCTAATTATTTAATTCTCTGTGAATAAATGTATTTATCTTTGACTTCTCTATTTCGCTAGCTAATTTTTAATCTTCATTTTAATTTGCTATTGATTTTTTATAAAATGTTAAGCATATTTTCCGTTTATATCCCATATTTTTTTTACGTATGCGCGGAAGAGCGTGTTAGCACGTATATGCGTGTGTATGGACGAGGGGGTAGGTTTTACCCACACAAAGTTGTTAGTGTTAGCCTCTACATACAAAGTTGTTAGTGTTAGCCTCTACATACAAAGTTGTTAGTGTTAGCCTCTACATACAAAGTTGTTAGTGTTAGCCTCTACACACAAAGTTGTTAGTGTTAGCCTCTAATCAGTAAACACTTCTTTCACAGCGGTATTTCAACCAGAAAGCAACCAAGCGTGACTGAAGTTCTGTAGTTTTCATGTGTACACGAAATACACAGCCATAGTTTCTATAACCTGTACCGATTTTATCGCGAAGGGGGCGTACATAAAACAGCACAGGTAGGTGTGTGAAATGTGCATTAAATCCCCAAATGTCACTATTTCAAAGGACAGGAAATGAACTGCGTCCATAGCCTAGTGGCGACGGGTTCATTTGCTGTTTGTGTCTCATATTGATATTTATGCCTTAGGGTAACTGTAAGTAATTCAATGGCAAATATTTATCGACAGTGTTTATTTCAATTAATATAAACTGTAAACATGTATACAAATACAGGGCTTATAGGCATTTCTAAATAGGCATGTGTATATATACACACATATATGTATACACACACACACATATATATATATATATATATATATATATACAGGCTATATATATATACATATATATAATATATATAAATGTGTATATATATATACTATATATATATATAGGTATGGATGTAAATATATATATATATATATATATATATATATATATATATATATATATATATACCCATCCTCTGCTCTACTACCATATAAAACATGTTGCAGATTGGTCACAAAGATGTTTACCGGTACCGACGACTTCACTACCCTCCTTGGAGCGGTGACCCTCCTGCTCCTGACCTACCTCTGGTGTTTCCGGCGTGACCCTAAGCTCCCGCCTTCTCCGTGTCGACCCCTGCCCTTCGTGGGTCATCTCTTGCTGCTGCAGAAGGACCCGAGACCCCAGTTCAAACAATGGCGGGAACAGTGTGGGGATTTGTTTAGGTAATTCAGTACGTGTGTGTTATATGACACCACAATACGACACTTCAAATTCATTTCCAACCTCATATACATAATATAATATTACCTTAGACAACCATACCGAAAAATTGAAATAGCATTTCTAGATCTCTTCCTACACTCAAATGTATATGTATATGTATATATATATATATATATATATATATATATATATATATATATATATATATATATATATATATATATATATATATTTTATATATATTTATATATATATGTGTGTGTTTGTGTGTGTGTGCGTGTGTGTGTATCCCTACAAGATGATTGTTGTATATTATTGAAACAAGTGTGTGCATGTCTATTGCCCTCCGCAGTGTGTACATAGGCGGCACCATGATCGTTGTGTTGAATGGCTATCAGCTCCTCAAGGAGACTCTAGTCCAGCGACCGGATGATTTCTCGGACCGGCCAAAGTTGTTTCTGGACGAGGTAAGGCCGATTATGCGTTCGATGTTTAGGTTTTTATGTTTTTATTGATTGATTTTATTTACATGCGGAGATAATGAAACTTTTAGGTGGGGGGGGAGGATTAGTTTATCGGATTCAATCTTTTTATTTATACCATAAAAAACTCGAGTAAGTAGAGCGAACCGGACAAAAAAAATGATGTGGAGTCTTTCATCAAGAGAGTAAGGGTGAACTCTGCTTTATAATCATGATGAAATTTCTTTTGTAGACCTACTTGGTAAAAAAAAATTAATGAAAAAATGATCAAGTTCATTAGATGGAGAAAGGGAAGTTGCGACTTAGTTTTTACTGTTAGTGTGACAATACAAGAATGGACAATGCAAATCTCTAAAAATAGCATCAGGTCATAGAGAATGGGACGCTATGATGGGTCTAAACCAGTTGAGTGGACTTCACCCCATTCAGCCTACTTGAGGCCTAGTAGGACTCTACGACGGCGCCTGATCTAAGAGCTACGTCTCGTCCACACGGAACTAAATTTTACAAGAAGCGCGTGGTTATCTACGGGTGACCCCCTAATATAATAAGCTTTTTTTGTTATAGTTCGCCACCACTCTACAATGCCGCCACTAATTTAATGCGCATGACAAATGTATTTCACAGGAAACTGGCATTGGCGGGCTGGGCGTTGTCATGGCCTCCGGTCAAAAATGGAAAGAACAAAAAAAAGTCACGCTCCAAATTCTTAGAAACTTTGGCCTGGGTAAAAATATTTTGGCCGAAAAAATCCAGGAAGAAATCTCATTTTTCGCTGATCTCCTGGCCAGTTTCAACGGACAGCCCGTGGATATTAAAGACGTGACGAATGTCAGCATGGCGAACATCGTCTGCTCCATTATTTTTGGTCAGAGGTTCGAGTACAGCGACGCCAGACTCCAAAGACTGATATCCGGTTACATGGCGACTTTAAGCGACCAACAATCCAATGGCGTTATCAACTTCATCCCCATGCTCAAATACATCCCATTTGACGTCTTCAAGGCGAAAAGAGGCGCGAAAAACCTTCAAACTCTGCTGGGTTTTTTACGAGAGTTCGTCGTTCTGAAGGGGAAGACGGAGTTTAACGAACACAACATCGGGAATTTCATCGCGGCGTACACGGCGGAAATGAACGAGCTGAAAGGGAAGAACGAGGCGACGAACATGAGCGAGGACAACCTCACGAAGATCGTTCTTGATCTTTTCATCGGGGGTTCCTTCTCCATGTCCCATACGTTGTCGTGGTGCATCCTCTACGCGATCAACTTCCCCGAATATCAGAAGAAAGCGTACGAAGAAATACACGACACTGTGGGCTTGGACAGAGTTCCTTGTTTCAAAGACAGGCCCAAACTAGCCTACGTTACCGCTTTTATCATGGAGACCCAGCGTTTGAGCAGTACTGTTCCCTTTGCTTTACCCCACACCTGTCCCCGGGATGTCTACGTTCGAGGCTACAAGATACCTAAAGGCACCTACATCTACCCCAACCTCAGCTCTGTACTCCACGACCCGAACATCTGGGGCCAGGATGTTTTAACCTTTAACCCCCAGAGATTTCTAGACGAAGACGGTAAGCTGAGAACACGTGAGGAGTTTGTTCCCTTCTCTATGGGCCGCCGGATGTGCCTGGGCGAGGCCCTGGCCAACATGCAGCTGTTCCTGTACTTGGCCACGCTGTTGCAGAAGTTCCAGTTCCTGCCCGTCGATGCTGCCAGTCCGCCCTCAATGGAAGACGTGTTTGGGTTCTCGGCCTCGCCGATGCCGTATGAAGTTAGAATAGTAGAGAGAAGCTAGGGAACATCAGTGCAAAATTTTTTACAAATGCTGGCAAAGCCCCCCCCCCCCCGAACGAAATGAAATTTATAAAATTTATGTAGAAAATATATACTTTTAACAGTGTCCGCCCCCCCCCCCCCGGAGAAAAAAGTCTGGAAGAAACACTGAACAAGAGATGTGTACTTTTATAAACTATTGTTGCCGTATCTTTTTAGTTAGATGTTAAATGACTGACTAAAAACTTTTTTCTTAAATAGTATAATCATAGCTATTATTTATTATTATAGTGCTTTTTTTTTAAAAATATATTAAGAGCTGTTGTATAGAACTTAACTTAAGTGATGGTATGTTAAGCAATGAGTTAACATTGGTTAAGAATGAGGGTCGAATATTTCATGAGGTGGGGGGGGGGGGGGGGGGGGGGGAAAGGAAAGGAAGACAGATCTGATTTTTCTATGGTATGATATATAAGTAAAGAGTTAAGAGTGGGGTGGAGCTTCACTATTTTATTTCTAACAGTGGCGTAGGCAGGGGGGGTTAGGGGGGTCATAACCCTCCCCCCATAGACCCCTCGGTAAATATATAAAGTATGACGGGGGGTGCAAATCAAAAGTCTGAGCTGAGGGGGGTATGGGGGTGCAAATCAAAAGTTTGAGAGGGGGTGCAAATTAAAAGTCTGAAGCGGGGGGGGGGGGGTGCAAATTGAAAGTTTGTCCCGGGTAAAAATTGGAACCCCCACTTGAGACGATCCTGGCTACGCCCCTAATTTCTAATATTTAGTTTGTTTTTTGTAAATATGTCACAAGCTATTATTTTGTAACCACTAATTATTATTATGAGGTACAATGCTTTGTTAATGCTAGATTGATTTATTCTTTGAGCATGTATTTTTAATAATTGAATAAAAAATTAAACTCATAAGCAAATGTTAAACGTTGTCATCGAACTATATTTTAAGGGGAGTTTTGTTTATAAGTTCTCTATAAGTTATTCCGAAGCATAATAAAAAAAATGTCCATATAATTTTATTAATACATTGTTAAAACTTCAGAGGCAAACACATTTTTCTTTTAAATTTAAATTATTGCATGTGGATAAAGCTAATAAAATTAAGTCTTTCAAACTACACACTTTTAATTATTATTTATTTTAATTTTATGTTAAATGATGGTTTATCCAAATGTATAACATGATTAATAATATTCTACTTAGTTTCAGGCAAAAATATAAAAACTACACAGAATGTAAATAGCAACTTTTGAATGAGTTAAATAAGAGAATAAATAACTTTTTAAAATTAGGTATAAAAATTTAAACTAGGAAATAAACATAACATTTATTTTTGTCATTCATTTTCTACAAGTTAAATTTTGAGAACATTAATATAACTTAAGTATAGCTCCCTAATTATGTTAAAACTAGAAAAATAATCTAAAAGGCTTACAGATGGCAGTATAGTCATTACAATCCCTACAGCTATTTGTCAGTAAAAGATAACTTCCAGTTCTAAAAGTTTAGAACAAAAAGATGAAAGTAATATGTAACAACTAACAAAATATAACATTTTTCTTTAAGAATAAAAAAGAACTTTCACAGAACTGGTAACAATTCATGTCTATGAACTGTTCTTAATAAAACCAAACCTATTAGTATATAATAATACTTTGATAAGCTACATCAAATAAATAAAAAATCTTAGGCTAAGAAAATGTATGCATTGCTTGAACTGCCAAGTATTTACATACATTGTATAACTATAGAGCCTTGAATTAAAAAAATGAGATGAAAGTTAATTTACAAAAAATCATTTTATTGGAATTTTAAAAAAATATTCACAATCAGTTATTTAATAATAAAATATAATACTATTTCTCAGTGACAGTTTAAAATCATGTGCTGCTGCACAAAAAATAGACATACATTAAAAAATATGCAGGTTAAACATGTATTTTGTACAGATGCTACATGTTTGGATTCACCACAAGGAGGGGTTCACAAACTCATTCCCTTGACACGATTCAAGATTAAAAATGAATATGATGCATAATTCTATACAGAAATGAAAAATAATTGTACAAGCTTGCAAAAAGGAAATAAGAACATGTAATCCAATGACTGAGTATAAAAAACTGTACTTGGTTTTTACAAATGTGCAACTGGAATTGTGAATATCTAGTAATCTATATCAACCTGTGGTTAGCTGGATTTTTTCCTTTTGGCCAGCTCCTCGTTTTCATCAGGGTAACTCTCTCTTGGGTCCTCTTCATCCAACATAAAAATACCAACTACCATGAGTAGGATGGAGACACCTGCCAAAGAATACAACATTACTTTAGATCAAAACATAAAACAATAAACATTGTCAAGGCTTGTAACAGTAGCAAATACCAATGAGTTTCTTCAGGTACTGTCATTATAGAATCAGCTGTCTAACAGCCATGCATTTTTTTCTAGAGCATAAACAGAATAAACCTTAGGATGGCTTTACTAGATTTTTAAATTTTAATTGTATTTAAAAAAAAATAAAGTGAATAACTTCTATTTGGCAGTTTTGTATGTAATTAAGCTACTAACACTGGAGGTGTGTCAGACCACCACAACATCTCATGATAACATTCATCATCAACTTCAAATACTGAGGGAACCAAACTTACTGGACACTATGAGAGACTTACTGGACACTATGAGGGACTTACTGGACACTATGAGACTTACTGGACACTGTGTGAGACTTACTGGATGCTATGAGGGACTTACTGGATACTATGAGAGACTTACTGGACACTATGAGAGACTTACTGGACACTATGAGAAACTTACTGGACACTATGAGGGACTTACTGGACACTATGAGACTTACTGGACACTGTGTGAGACTTACTGGATACTATGAGGGACTTACTGGATACTATGAGAAACTTACTGGACACTATGTAAGACTTACTGGACACTATGAGAGACTTACTGGATGCTGTGAGAGACTTACTGGATACTGTGTGAGACTTACTGGATACTATGAGAGACTTACTGGACACTGTGTGAGACTTACTGGACACTGTGTGAGACTTACTGGATACTATGAGAGACTTACTGGACACTATGAGAGACTTACTGGACACTGTGTGAGATTTAGTTTACACTGTGAGAGACTTACTGGATACTATGAGAGACTTACTGGACACTGCCAGAGACTTACTGGACACTATGAGAGACTTACTGGACACTATGAGAGTTACTGGACACTATGAGGGACTTACTGGACACTGTGTGAGACTTACTGGATACTATGAGAGACTTACTGGACACTATGAGAGACTTGCTGGACACTGTGTGAGATTTAGTTTACACTGTGAGAGACTTACTGGATACTATGAGAGACTTACTGGACACTGCCAGAGACTAACTGGACACTATGAGGGACTTACTGGACACTATGAGAGGGGCTATGATCCCAGCTGTCAATGTTGCTGTTTTATATATGAAGACCTCGGAGCTGAAATGGCACAGGGCTAGCACAAAGGACATGATGGTGATGTGATACAACCTGTTTGAATAGATGAGAGGATATATTTCATTAGACAGCTATACAGTTGTCAGGCTTTAATATAAACATGAAAAATAGTCAAAACTGCTATAATATAGAGAGTGGACTATGCATATTTTATATAACACTATTAGCACAGGAGATTTTTTTTTAAAGTCAAATCTCCCATGTGACATAACGTTAAATAATATTTTCACACAACATCCCTCAAATTAATTCTAGAGCCCTGCTTTTTAATTTTTATAATAAATTATGAAATTACATCATTTTATAGAAAAGCTGCTTGTTACATTTTTAGCAGAAACATTAGCAGAGCTTCCGATTATGTTAAATCCAAGTCTAAGCCAAATGTGTGAGCTAAAGCATACAACCAATCTAAATATGAAAAGTTTAGCAATTATAACAATGAAGAAAATCTAACGCAGTTATGTAGCACATATACCACCACCTAAACCACCAAGATGAGAAATCTCTTCCTAGACTTCCAACATTATACAAGATGTGCAAGATTACCAATTAACCTTACTCCAATCAACCCCATGCGCCAGTCAGTTCTCAAAAAAACCTATTGATTAGTTATTTCTTATGAATTTGCAATATGTAGCGGAAAATGTTTACCTAACACAAGTATTTTTAAAACCATAAGGTCAATAAACCTCTGAATAGTGTGCTGAGTGTCATCTAAATGTAAATATTTGTAAACAAATAGAATTATTCATGAGGTCCCCTCAGCTACCCTGATCTGTATCATTAAAACAGTAGTGAGTAGATACTTACACCTTGTTGTAGATAAACAGGGCACACATCAGACGAGTAATCCCTGACAGTAAAGTCCATGTTCCAAATAGTCTGGCTGTGAGGTCACTGACTACATAAAAAAAAAAAGTTTTAGATTAGTTTATTCACTATTTTATTGATTAACTTATAACTACTGTGGAGGCCTATTGTTTACAGTTTGTACAGGAAACAAAAAGGGCTAGGGATATTTTTTTAATTATCTCCCTAAGACATACACAAGAAAACAACTAGGTTTGGAATTGGGTAGAGATTAGTTACTAGTTAGGGTTAGAGCAAAGTATCATCTATGGCTATCACTACTATCAGCTAGGTTTATTGAGTTCTAGGTGTAAGGTTAGTACTAGCAATTAGAAGAGACTACAGCTGATCAGTAGTGATATGGATTTTTTAAAAATAGGCAAATGTCATTTTAGTTTACTTTGTCCATGTGAACATTTAAAGGTGGATTAAAGTCTCAAATATAGATATAGCATGTGAATGCGAATTGTGTCAAATTTTTAAAGCCACCATTCTAAAATAGTGTAAATGTTTCTACAATCAAAAAGCTCTACCCACCTACACCATGTAACATAATATAACAAGTTGATAGTATAATTCTGTCATGTTATATAATATAGTCAGGTGCTTGGCTATGTAGGTAATGCAGAGTGAACTTGAGCGAATCACATAGCTGAAAAATTTGTGCGGGCCTCAACTACTAATACTACACACCCAGGCCTATATACTTGCTTACTAACAAAATTACTGAATTTGCTTTTATAACAAGACTGTGGCCCTGATATTATAAATTCTCTATGTTAGCAAGACAGAGAGACAGTGGCGTAGCGAGGTCGGGTGTCACCCGGTGCGGCACTTAATGGTGTCACCCCCCAGAGACGTAGCGACCCTTCCCAGGGACAAACTTTCAATTTGCACCCCCCTCCCCCTCAAACTTTCGATTTGCACCTCTTAAAACACTATTTAACACTCGAATTAATCACTTAATTAAGTGAAATTATCATTTTTCTCTATATATTTTGCTATTTTTTGCCATAAGTCACCCCCTAAATGGTGTCACCCGGTGCGGTCCGCACCCCCCCTTACTACGCCTCTGCAGAGAGACACAATGAAGTCAATGTTACCAAGAGGTGTAGCAGAGAAGTGGTCAGCTAAAGCTCTTCCTCAACAATTTTCAGGAAAGCTGTGATTTTATTGAGGAAATTAATAGAACTATAATAAATTTAAAGCTATAGCAAAACTGGTATTAAAGAGAAAAAAACAACTTAAACTGTCAACAAGACAAAGGTTTATTATGTAATTCCCTCATCAATTATGAAGTGTTTCTGAAAAATGCTCTGATTTTCTTTTTCTTTAACCTGATGATGACTAGATGAGTAATAGATAACAGCAAAGTAACTTTTGTCTGTCATAGTGTTATTGTTTTTTTTTGTACCTCAACATCTTTTGTGCAGAAAATGATAAATCCCCACAGTTATTAACATTCTGTACAACCTTTTCCAAGTATGAATGTGTGTAAGTATTGAGAGTCTGAGTTCTTGAGTGGCCTATACCCCATTATAATTGCCAACCAATTCACATAGGCTGTTTACATTGGGTATCCTCCATCTCTACCTCTCTTTCGTATTTTCCTTATATAACAAAGTGAACAGGTCAACCACAAACCAGTAGATCTGAAATATCTTCCTGAGACAGTTCAATAGACTCTGAGTATGGTCCAATTCAGCTTTCTAAGTCTCTGCTCTATTCTATAAGACAGAGATCAGATCACAACCACCCTGCTCCAAAAGTCCATATACACTTACAAGCTAGATGAAAGCTACCCTCAATCTACCAATCCAAGCCATATTTTCTGAGTTTGTCACATTCTGGTATCAACGTTAATGGGGACTAGTCCAGTATTTATATAGAATTAGCCCTATTTTTGTGGGCATTGAACTCAATCTGTTGCATCACCAAAAACCTGACAATGCTTAAGTTATAATTATTATTAAAGAAAAAACATAAACAAGAGAAAACAACACCAAACCTTTTGCTTGTAGGAAATTTCAATTCTAATAACAAGAAATGTAAACATGTCTTATACCTTTTTGAGTTGTGTTGAAGGCAGTAGAGACAGCCAGATCTGTATTATATACATAGACATCGCTGTATTATACCAGGGCTATAACTATAATGCTGCTTGTCCAAATGTAGTGGCTGTTACTGGTGCATAACATATCTACAATATTTGTGACTGGTCTCTTACATCAGGTGTAAATATGACAATCTAGACCTAATGGAATTAACTCGCTGGTCATTTTTTCATGGGTTTTGTGTTAGCATATAAGGGTTGAATATAATAATATATTTATTTTGTATTTATCATAAACTACGTGTGTTGGCATAGGTTGAAAAGATTTGGCTTGTAGCCTTTTCTAAATTGAAACAATCATGATTTAAAAACAGAGATGAATGATTTAATCATTTTTAGAGAGAATTTGTTTTAAAGTAAACAGTTCTGAACAGTAAACCATGCATTTATGATAACTGATGATAAGCTGTGTGATAGCTGGCTTAGCAACAGTACGGGGGGGGGGGGGGGGGGGGGGGAGGAGGGAGAGAAAGAAAGGAGAAGAGAGAAGAGTGGGGGAGGAGCGAGGGGGGGGGGGGGTAGAAACTTTCTTTTTTGTTTGCTAGGTCATTTAATTTTTTTTTCAAAAAGAATATTTGTATCTAAAGATTAATTTCATTTTGAAAATCAATTTTTCTCTTTCCAACTGACTTCTTGGCTTTTACATGAATGCTTTAATGTTAATGTTTGAGGGTTTGTATGCATTTTAAAATACATTTTGAAATTTATATATAAACTAATTAATCAGTAATAATAGTGCAACAAACACAAAACATAAAAAACATAAGATGACAAAATAGTAGAAAATAGACCTACAAAGTACAATTTAGGAGATGCACTACTTAATGTGCTACACTAACCGCAGTGAGTTCCTTACATTAATAGCTACTAGAATGTTACATTTAACAGGTATGGGTAAAATGTGAGATGCGGAATGGCAAAGCAAAGCAAGAAAAAGGCAAAAAGAAACGCTGGTCAGGTGAGACTTTTTGTCTCACATCTTCTATTAAGTTTGTTGTATTCTTATAATTATCTGCACAGCTGAAAACGTATTTCAATTTCAATGAATATGATGTTATAATTTTTAACCCATGTGAAATGTGTCGAAGACAGAATAACTTATTTCATTTCTAGGTGTTGAAACTAACACAACCTTGTTTGAAAAAAGCTTGAAATGTTATTAGATAGGCCGAGGATAGATTTATATTTCCCTTTTGTGTTGACCACGAAGCAATTTATGAATTAATTTTAAAATGTACCATGTTTTTTTACTCTTCTATTGCTTTTAATATATTACAATATAATTTAATTATATATTTTTCAGTTACATTATATATTTAAACATACATTTACAACTAAAGGATTGCTAAACTTAACATTGCCATTTCTATAAATAAATGTCGGCTACATCATGTCCCAAGCCCAGTTTCTTTAACACTAATTTCACAAGCATAGCAGAGGCCTAGATCTAGATCTAAAAGCTTATGCAAAGTCACAATGATCTCAAGAAAAATTTTCATATTGCTCGGTTTCTATGAATATACAATTAGATATGGGTCAGGCTATGACATAAGCTATTGTCTCAAAGTAATCCCTCAACGAAGTTGGTATTTTTTTTTTCCTGCTGATGATGAAGGGGGACCATATTTAGAATTAGCATATTTTTGGAATATATTATTTCAATTTAGATCAAACAATTTAAAAAAAAAACACTTGTGATAGATTTACTGGTTTAGTTAAGAATGTTTCTTTTCACACATCTTGAAAAAAGACATGCTAGAGTCTTGACTCTTAAACCAAAATGTCTCACAATTATGCAAGTATGTCTTGCATTTTCTTCTTGCATTTTACGGCCTCACTATTTTACATTTTACTAGATCTAACACCCACAGCTAACATTAGTTTATTTTATTTAAACATAATAGTTTAATTTAATGATAATGTAATGTAGAACCTAAGACCTATTTTATATTAAATTTTAATTTTTAAACAGTACAACTATTAACTACGCTAAGCTATTTACTATTTAGCATATGCGATTAGTGATTTAGATCTTTAAGTTATAAAGTTATGTAATAGAGTATGCATTGTACAGTAGAGCATCAAAATAAATAGCCAGTGAGAAAACAGCCTCGCCTAAACAGCCCTGTCAAATGGACCCCGTAAAAATGGCCAGATACTAATGGACTCCGTCATAGTTTACTACTGTCATTACAACTCACAACAAAATGTGTGTTTCTGTTGTGTTAATAATAAAATACTCTCAACTGGAGGTGAACATGAAGCAGCGAATAAAGTACGCTAAAATTGAGAAATGGCGAGGCTGGAAAATGCGAGAAGATAATGCGAGACATACCTGCGGAATCAAGGGTAAATAGTTTTTTTCATGCTTTTTCATCTTTATTTAAATTATTTTTTTTGTTTTAAAATAAACAAGCATGTAGGAATACCCTTTAACACGAGTGTTGTGTGTTATTATATTTTATTATAGGCCTATATATAGATAGATACTAAGAAGATAGATGGATCTATATCTAGATCTATCTATTAAAAAATCCTAACATCGTTGCTGTGCTACTGTCATCGCCCGCTCTCTTTAGCAAGAGGAAAATCCCGTCTCAGTCTACATTAATTTTAAAAATCTAGCCCGCTCATGTTTTTACAAACGTGAGCTGTGTCATTGTGAATTGGTATAATCTTGTCAGCAGCAGAGATATTCTGCAACATGTATTCATGGATTGTTGTACTTGCAAAAAGTGTAAAAGTGTAAACAATTCTAAAAAGTGTAATTTTTTTTTATTAAGTAATTTTAATTACAAACAAAATTTACAAACAAAATCTTCTGAAACAGTCCTAGCACTACTCAAACACACCTCGTCACACCATCTTTCACACATAGTACATCCAACCCAGTTCATTAGACAAAACTACCATTTAAAAGGGGTCATCCATAAATGACGCATGTCACGCTTTTTTTTTGACGATTTTTACCTCCCCCCCCTCCCCTCCATCACAAATGTTCACAAAAATCTAGACCCCCCCCACTAAAGTGACATCACACCTCAGCCTACAACCCCCTTCAAAATTGCAGTTTTTTTTAAAACATCGATATTTTCCCAAAATTGTGGTTAATTTCTGTCGAAATAAAATATTTGAATCAATTCCTATTACAATTTATTAAAACAGTTTTCTAAAACGTGAAATAACGTCTAAAACTCTTTTTCTAACATTGCTTTTTTATAGTGTGAAGTCACAACATCTAACCCCCCCCCCCCCCCCCCCCCCCCCCCCACCCTCCCCCTCATCACACATTTCTATGCAACAATACAAAATATGTTTGCAGCGACAGCGGATTTGGGCAAAGTGACCTTCAAAAACAGTAAATTAGGCGTCCTCGGCGTTCCACACAAAAGATAGAAGTTGATAAGTATCGTCTGCGGTATTTCGGGCGGTCTCGAACAAGGTGGTATTTTAAGTCGACACAAAAGATGGGGGGAGTTCACAAATCATCAGTATGTCTAGCGACGGAAAAATCGGAAGTTTTAACAATGTAAACGAAAAGTCTTTGAAGTCTGCACCAAATATCACTGTAAATCGGGTGCGGTAAATTTTTCGCAGAAATCTTTGCATTTTAACACCACCCAGCGTAAGTATCGGGTTGTGGTAATATGCGAGACAAAAAGTCACGTCACCGACCGTTTTCGCGCCCTTCTCGCATTTTCCCGCCTCGCCATTTCGCTTTTCGCTGCGCGCAATTTCTCTACACTCTACACCCACTAAAGACAAAGTACACTAGACTACAGCAGACAGTTATAATTATTTATTATTATAATTATTAATTAGCCTATAACAGTAGACTTGAGTAGACTACACTCACAGTTCACACTGTGACTGAGGAGTGACTGAGGGTACTCACTGTACGTACTGATAGGCCTACTCATACTGAATACTGTGTCACTGTGTAATGTGTAGGCCTATTGTTGCAGTATTGTCACATTGTTCATTGTGTAACAGTCCTGTCACCCTGTGTACGGCAGTGCATGCATTCAGGATTATAAATATAAGGCTATAAGGATACTACTAGCCCCATTACTAGGATAGCCTACCGTTGTTTTGACTAACAGTATAGAGTCTTTCATAAGTATAGGACGAGCTTATAAAGCATTGAAACGTGTTTCCGAAAGCCATTACTGCAACAAATGCGATCCATATTCTTAAAAAATTAACGAAGAAAGGTGTAGAGTTGCTCATATTGCAGGGCTTTATTTTACTTTTGGCAGCTGAGACCGGCATTTTTTTCTGTTTCCAAAATGTCGTAAAAGTCTGCAGACCCTAATCCAGTTTAAGTCCACATAAAATTACCACTGCAATGCAAAAACAATTTTTTTTAAATTACTTAAATGAAAGTCGTTTGTAAATGTAGTCTTATTATATTTTAATAAGGTTATTTTAGCAAAACAAGATTATAGAGTATGTCGTATATTAAATACATCAGCAATGCATTGTATTTGCGACACCAGCAACAGTATGTAAACAATATGGACAGATCATTAATGGATTTGAATCTTTGATTTCATGTTTTGAAATAGATCTATAAATATTTGTAATATGCCTATTTTAAAAAGTTAAAGATTGCTAATTAATAACTAGGTAAAGGTAAATGTTGGCTGTGACTTTGTATGTGTAATTAGTAAATTACTCTAGATTATTAGTAAAAAGTTAAGTAAAAAGTAAAAACGTTTCTTTAGCCACTTTCACTTTAGCCTAATTTGAATTTCTTATTTTAAATTTTTCACTCATTCTACACTGGCTCTCTTCAGCAGCGCAGTGTCCACTGTATGAGTGTAGTGTACAGGTTAACACTTAGTAGATCTAGTACCATACAAGCTGATACTGTTATAAAGTAAGTTTGTAAACTCAGTTTACTAAACTGTAAAGACTTTTGAGTAGTGTTAGACTTAGAAAGAAACAGTTGGTACTGGTAGCGATAATTCAGTTTAACTATCTGGCTTTCTTAATTCTATTAATTGAAACTATTATTATATATAATCCAAATCTATCATATTTGTCAGTGTAAGTGTATTTAACACACCCTATATTTATTATTTAGTTAGTATAAGTTTTAATCATTAAGTTTCATTAAGTCAGGCCTAAAATTCAATAGTAAAATCATGATAAGTTCAGCAGAATCTAGTATTAGTAATGTCACATGTGCAGAAGAAGTGACTAATGATTGAATATGGCTTAACTATAATAAATATGGGCATATTTTAGTGACATATCTTTTTCACAAATACTTATTTAAATACCATTACATAGTATTGAGTTCATTGCTGTTTTCATTTGATGATTATAGTGTTCCTTTTCTTTAATTAGTGGTTCCTATGTAAATAATGTTACACCATTTAACCTCTCTACATCTTTAACTTATCTGCTCCCCTTTTTATCCAAAATGTCAGATATATTAAAGTAAAATAAAGATACTCTTTGACCGGACGGTCAATAAGGCAGGGAAAAAAAGAGTTTACATGTTCCAGTTCTATGCCTAGCAGCATTTACTCTTCATAACATGAGTAAGGCAGCCATCAGAGCTGGGTAGATTCAGTGATCTGATCCTGAGACATTCAGGCTAGCAGTTATATTCCCTACCACCTGACCATGCTGTAATAATTCAGATATTGACTACCAAAATTGGTGGGATGGGGTTGTCCATAAATTATGAAACTTATAATGTGGTATCTAAGGGGTGTAGGAGGTGGGGTGGTTTGTGTTTTCAATTTTATAACATGTAATGATAGCCCACTGTTGCTGTTCTTTCTATTCAAATTGAATTAGTAAAAAAACCTAACAGAACTTTTGGAAAACCCCTTTAATAATAAATTCAATGATAATGATAATAAAAATATAAAACATCATGAAAAATCATAACTACTGCAAGCCTGCTGTCCTGTTCATATAACCAAATTAATTATCTAATCTTAATTGATCTATAAAAAAACTGAGCTATAATTTCACCTGAAATCTATCAGTAACCATAATACTCTTCAAGAGACCTAGTTATTGTAAATAAAAAAATATCATAATTTATTTAGAATATTCTAGCATTTTGAATGATAACATTGAGGCCTACATGAAAAATCTCTAATAATATGTTTGATTTGTACTTTACAGAACCTTTGACTCTATACATTGTGCGATGTCGACAAACAGCCAAACTAGTTGCTAATGACAACTTTCAAGAAATGAGTAATTCATTTTCATAACTATTTGATTGTTCTATGTCATAAACTAGTTAACATTTTAAGTTATTGGGTATACATTAAATAGAATTTAAAAAAAAATCTTTAAGTTAAATTTTACTTGTATTTTCTGTCTAGTCAGATCAAGTTCTGCATCTAAAGCACTGGTAAAGGATGACAGATACGAATCACATGAAGAAAATGGTGTCCTCTTCTGGGTGAACAAAAGTGGCTTCCCCATCGACAACTTCACATGGGAGCGGATGTGGGACCATGTGGCTAAAGCTCATCCTGAGGGCAGCTCCATTGTTAGGCAAATCAGAAACAACCATAAGCTACCACAGGTAACTGATACTCAAGGATTAACCTACCAAGAAACTGATCACTTCTGAATGAAGCAAAATTGATTACAAGGGGTTTCAAATCAATCATAATAGCTAAGAAAACAAAATAATCCTTTGGAAATAAAATATAGGCCTTTTTATTTATATTTCTAACAATATGTGTGTATATATATATATATATATATATATATATATATATATATATATATATATATATATATATATATATATATATATCACAATATAAGACTTTGACCTGTGTCATTTGTTATAATACACTGTTTTTATTGACAGACTTTATAATTTGTTTTTAGGTACCTTTTCCACAAGCCCCATTGACCTTCAGCCCATCAGTATCCATTCAAGAGAGGCTTCAAAAGATACAAGACTATATGATTGAGCTACAGTATCCTTTAAACATTTGTAATCTATATTCTAAGTGCTGCTTTAATTGATGTATGCTGCACAATTGTGTAGGGTGTATTGGGGTTATTGCAGTGGATCTACTGTAAGCAAAACTTAGCCTGCACTGTATTTTACGTCTGGGTCTAGAACATTACCCCCCTTCCCTTATTAAATTACCCCCTGTCAATTTTATCTTGCCTCTTTATTCATATTATCCATCTGAATTTTTAGCTCACCAACCCTATTTCTAATTCTAACCTTAACCATATCCCTAGCCTTATTCTTAACTTATCCTTAACCCTATTGCTTTCTCTGCATTGTTCCTATTAGGTAATTGGTAATAGAAGAGAGGATGTTGTGGGTAATTTCCTACTGTGTTATTTAAGACATGGGGGTTGGGTAATAGACAGGATGGTAATATCCACCTTTGGTTTTGGATTTAATTCTTCTCAGCTGTAACAAAATGTGTCATAAGTCTCAGAATATTTTCTTTAACCTGACCTGATACAACCACACAGGCACACAGTTCTTTGAGATTAGAAAAAGCAGGCCAATGACTGGGTGAGTAATGTCAACTTTGCTTGTTTGTGTTTGTAAATTCCATTTCTTTTATAAGAACATATAGTTGTTTATCTTAATGATCAGGGGAAGGGGGGGGGGGGGGGTATTTGAAAAAAGAAACATTAATAATAATCTTTAAGTGGACAAAATTAATCAAATGGGGTAAGATTCTTATTAAATTGATTTTATCTGATTTTTTTTTAGGTTGATGGAATGTGCTAAAGAAATGATCAGAGAAGCGCTACCTATAAAGTGTTTAGAGGCAGTTATTCTAGGAATGTATCCTTTTGCGTATACATGCACACATTCATAAACAACATAATCAATTCTCATTTGATGAAAGTTTCATTAAAAATATAACTTGCATAATTACACTTTCCTATTCAAATATCCTTAAAATTGAATGAAGATTTCTAACCAACTGTATGGTAGGTCTGGAAAGGTTCCCCATAAGTTTCAAGACAACTTTCAAAGGCCACTCTCACCGCCATATTGTCCTTGGGCTGTGTCATGCTGGCAGCTATGGTGCCATTGGCATGAGCAGACGGGAGGACCTCATGTACAAGCCATTACAGTTCAAGGTATCTGATGGTCCTGCTAGTCTTTTAGTTATACGAGCCATTACAGTTCAAGTTATCTGACGGTCCTGCTAGTCTTTTAGTTATGCAAGCCATTACAGTTCAAAGTATCTGACGGTCCTGCTAGTCATATAGTTATAGACATTTTCAAAGGATTTTATTTGTGCTCTTAAAAACTTACCCTTTCAAACCTGGCGATCCAAGTATAGATCACCTGTTTCTGTGATTTTGGCAAACGAAAGAATAGATTTGTTAATACGATGCCCTGGCACCTTTACTTTTCCTAATCTGAGTCATGTAGGCCTACATATCAGAAGTGGGACTTCATACTGACTCAACCCTCAATTTATACTCTTGACTTGGGTTAGCAGTCATTTGCTGTAACATCCGACCACGCCTTCCCATCTTTTGTGCTATTGGATTAGGCTTATTAAAATGGATTTTCTTAAAATTAACTTAATTTTAATAGAAACATTAGCAATAAAACTAACTTTAAATCTAACCTTAGCTTTATTCAATGAGAATTCTCTATAAAATATTTTTTATAGGACCTATAGACTGGCTAAGTGTTCTAATGTTCACTTTCTTTTTAGTCTAGTAAGCCAACCACTTAGGACCTATAGACTGGCTAAGTGTTCTAATGTTCAGTTTCTTTTTAGTCTAGTAAACCAACCACTTATGTCTATGTTGAAAGATCTGTGGAAATAAGCTTCATAATGTGTTAATTATTAAAATACGAGCCGACCCGCGGTATATCATACGCCGCTTTTAGTTGTTGTTTTTTCTACTTTCCAGTAATTCATAATTTGTGAATTCGACAGTACCAATGCTGCCACTGAAAATATTTCTTTAAAACACTATAAGTAGCTCCTTAAGGATGATAAACCCCCCCCCCCCTCTCCTCCCTCCCCCCCCCCCACCCCCCTCCGTTACAGTAAACTCCACTTAGTTACTCCCCCCTACGTTTAAAATCATTTCAAACTAAATTATCTGCCCCTAATAGTCGTCACTAAACCCAGCTCTGCTTGTAAATATTTAGAGTGAACCACAGCTCACCAGACCATGTAGGGGTGGGGGTGGTAGGGAGCGCGCTTGCAGCTTGTTTTCTAGCGTCTCCCAGAAGAGAATTATATATATAGATAGATGTTTTCTATAACATTAGTATTATGGAAAAAAATCTGATTGTAGGCCTATGATTGACTTTTTATTTTACAGAGCTTATCAGACCTAGTATTGGACTTTGAAAAATGTTACAAGCAATGTAAGCACCTTTTTTATATTGTACACTAATTGCTTGGATTATTTTCAAATTTGTTTTCACTTGCAGCTCTTAAAAGCAACTTGTTAATCATTTCTCAGATTATCATACTGTAAAAAAGGTCAAGGTTGGAATGCCAATAAATCATGATCAGCACTCATATGAGATTATATCCTGGAAGGTTAGGTCAAGTTTGGGTTAATTTAAGAGTTTAGTTAAAATATTTGACAAAATTGCATGCTCAAGTATGTCATAAAGTTGTTGGTTTATGTTCAGATAATTAAACCATTGGGTGAATTATTCTTCAGGCTTTGGTTGTCACATTTGGACGAAATCCACAGAAAGATTGTGTACGTGAGCTAGAGAATCATTCAAGAAAGATGAAAAGTTTGGTAAGTTATAAACACTACTCTATTAACTTCAGTGGTTGGTTGGCTAATTAGGCTTGCTTTAGTTTATAAATCATTATATTGAGGAATATGCAGTTCCTGTGTGTGAATGCAATAGTTATTATAACTAAAGATTATATGTAAAATGCAAAAAATATTTTTTTAAAGTCAGGAGCATTGTTATATTTTATTTTTTGTAAATATTTTTAAAAATTGCATGTCTACAATAAAAGGTAGGTAATACTTAGTGGAATCCCCATGATGGAGAGCTGAATTGTGTCCCTTAGCCCACAGAGTGCCAATAGGTGATGAATGAAATATATATTAAAATGTACTTTGGATTTCAGTATAAATCTTGGAGCTCAAGTCCTTATACCTCAATTAAGCTGCTGCCTACATCTGATCCAATGAAGGAAGCTACTTGTGCTGAATCCAGTTCCTTTGGTCTTTCACGAAGGTCAGATGTTTAGCCTTTTTGTTAACTTGTGCATTTCAATTTTAGTCTTTATTTGGCTGGTAAAGCTTAAGTCATGGTCATCATTACCTGTCTGTGTCTACCATCTGTCTATGCCTGTACTGTTTGCTTGTACCATCATTACCTTTAGTACCATCTGTAATGACCATTCACCACCATCTTCACTGTAAGGAAAATGCAGATTGTCAGTACCATCTGTCAATGTTTGTCTGCACCATCATTACTTGTCAGCACCATCATTCTGTGGCCATTAGACACAACCATCAGTCCCTGGTCATTTGGCACCACCTTTATTCCCTGTCCAACATTGCAACTTGCTGCCCAGGATTTTCAAAGCACAGCATCCAATGGTTTATTAGACTATAGAGCCATAACACCAACATGATGGTACTGACTGGGAATGGTAAGTTTTAACCTATTTCCTGTACACAGGCATACAGTTGTTGACTCTGGTCTGTTGCTGGTGTTAAGTTTTAACCTATTTCCTGTCCCCAGGCATACAGTTGTTGACTCTGGTCTGCTGTTGGTGTTAAGTTTTAACCTATTTCCTGTCCCCAGGCATACAGTTGACTGTCAAGTTTTAACCTATTTCCTGTCCACAGGCATACAGTTGTTGACTCTGGTCTGTTGCTGTTAAGTTTTAAAAACTGTCCCCCAGGCATACAGTTGTTGACTCTGGTCTGTTGCTGGTGTTAAGTTTTAACCTATTTCCTGTCCCCAGGCATACAGTTGTTGACTCTGGTCTGTTAGGTATGAAAAAGAAGAGCAGAAGTACAGGAGCACTGCAGGTGAACAATGACTACCAGATCCGCATCTAAGTCTACCTGAACTCTAGCTGCTAGCACCAGTTCCTCTCCACAAGGTGTGGTGTTCAATGCTTTCAACACTCCCTGTTCATGCTCGATGATTTTTACATATTTGTAGTCAGTATTTTAAATATGTGCAGTTAGTATTTTAAAAGCCCATATTTAGTCAGTATCTTACATGTATATAGAAAACATGCCTCAATTTACTGCTGAATTGAATTGCATTCTCATAGCTATGTTTAGTATACTGTGTGATTTCAAATAAATTATCTATTTGAAGAGAGATTATTCAAGTATATTTGTTATTTAAATCAATTGTTTGACCAATTTTTACTGGGATATGGACAAGGGTAATTTAATGTTACTGTACATTTTCTCTGATTAGATCTCACATTAATTTTATTTCTTTTATTTCTTTTTGACATCATATGCAAATTATGTTAACTGCACAAGTTACACTGAAAGATTTAGTAGAATTTGTAGATTCAGTGCTCAGTTCAAATTATTTAAGAACCTTGCTAATACTTAATGTAAATCTGCTTTAAGATAAGATGAAAAGAGATTAACCACATAATTATTTCTTTTATATTATTTTTCTTATTTCCATTTACCACTTATGACAAGGCCTGAGTCAAAGTGCCAATGTTTGTTTCTTGAAGTTTTTATAATACTTTTTTATGTTTGCCATCTATTTTAACTCACTGCAGCAAACATTCGAATTCGCTCAATTGTATCAGATCAAGTTTCAATAAATATCTATGCATTACTTTGGCATATGTTATAAATTGTATTTGATATTAATTATTATAAGACATTTTAAAAAAATAAATTGTGTTGAGTTTCTATCATTTCATGTGTTTTATGGATAAAACAATGTGTACATGTAATGCAGATTATAAAATTTTTAAAAAGACAATAACAATTCTAAGACTAGTAATAAAGAATATGTAAATTAAATTAAATATTTGGTAAAAATATGCAACATAATAAAGGAAAATGTTTACAAATTGCCAATTTTTTCAAATACAAACCACCTAAGTTATTCAAATCAAACTGAAACAAGAATTCATAATGCAAATGAATCAAATCTTGTCAATAGTAAAATCAATTAAAATTGAACACAAAGCATTTTTAAAATAATTGTGTATTCATTTATAAAAAAGCAATGTTTTTTATTTATACATTGAAAGATAATTTATTAAGAAATGTTCATGCAGCTAGCATTATAAGATATTTATATATACACACTTAAAATAGTTAATTATAAGTTTATTATAAATTTTAAAATATTTTGAGTTTGTTTTTTAGAAGACAAAACTGATGAATTCCTGAATGATTATGTTCACAGCTAATAAACAGCCCATGATGGGAATAGAGTCTGTGGTAAGTCAAATGACTTTTCATTGAGTCCAAATTTGTAGCAGAGAGTTTCCTTACAATGGCCAGAAAACACGACAAGAAACAGTGAACTTTTAAAGCTATCCATCCTGAAAAGAAATAAAATACTTAAAATTAATAACATAATTCATGAAAATTGTTTTTGGCCAAAAAAAGGGCCTAAAATAGACAGATTTAAATGTGTATGAATAAAAACAATTTAAGTAATTCACATAGAAAATATTAATAAGACATTAGCTGATTAAAAAAACTTATCTTCATTTATTACTTGTAGTGTTATATTATCATATGGTACATAATACATCTTGTAGTGTAATATTTCTGGCACACCAACAGTACAATGATGCTACATGCTTAAGTAGTCACTTTTAACAACTAACATTTTTATTTTTTACTAAATCAACTATATAGTTATTATACATTTAAATACCTAAATTATAAAACAACAAATTTAACTTAATAGAGCACAGCCATACAATACAAAGAACAACAATTTTACACTATTATACAATACAATGCAACAAAATTAAATAATATAATTCAACAACACAAGTACAATACAGTTACACTTTATAATGATACAACACAAGAATAAAATACAATGAATGCCTTAGAATCCAATAGAGTATTACAAAAATCAAACAAGTTAATACAACAACACAATGCAACATTACATTAATTTTACATCCCGCTATAATAAGAATTTTTTATATACCCAAGAGTAAGTGTATTACTGTCTCATCATGAGTGGCCCTTATAGCTGGATGTATAAATATGTAGAGCTGTAGTTGGGGGCCCTTACTACAGCTGGACATATAACTCTGTAAAGTGGTAGTTGGGGGCCCTTACTACAGCTGAACATGTAATTCTGGAGAATTGTATGAGTGGCCATTATAGCTGGATGTATAAATATGTAGAGCTGTAATTGGGGGCCCTTACTACAGCTGGACATATAACGCTGTAAAGTGGTAGTTGGGGGCCCTTACTACAGCTGAACATATAACTCTGTAAAGTGGTAGTTGGGGGCCCTTACTACAGCTGAACATATAACTCTGTAAAGTGGTAGTTGGGGGCCCTTACTACAGCTGAACATATAACTCTGTAAAGAGGTAGTTGGGGGTCCTTACTACAGCTGGACCTATAACGCTGCAAAGAGGTAGTTGGGGGTTCTTACTACAGCTGGACATATAACGCTGTATAGAGGTAGTTGGGGGTCCTTACTACAGCTGAACATGTAACTATGAATAACTAGAACTGGGGGGGGGGGGGGGGCTTACTACAGCTGGACATAAAACTGTAGAGCAGTAGTTGGGGGCCCTTACTACAGCTGAACATTTAACTCTGGAGAACTGTATGAGTGGCCCTTATAGCTGGACGCATAAATCTGTAGAGCAGAATTTGAAGGCCCTTATTACAGCTGAACATGTAACTCTGAAGAACTGGAGCTGGGGCCCTTACTACAGCTGGACATAAAACTCTGTAGAGCAGTATATGGAGGCCCTAATTACAGCTGAACATGTAACTCTGGAGAACTACTCTGGAGAACTGTATGAGTGGCCCTTATAGCTGGACGTATAAATCTGTTGAGCTGTAATTGGGGGCCCTAACTACAGCTGAACATGTAACTCAGAAGAACTATGGCTGGGAGGCCCTTACCACAGCAAGCCATAAAACTCTGGAGAACTGTGGTTTGGGGCCCTTACTACAGCTAGACATATAACTGTGTACAACTATGATTGGGGGACATCACAATAGCTGTATCTATAACTGTAGAGCAGTAGTTGGGGGCCTTTACTACAGCTGAACATATAACTGTAGAGCAGTAGTTGGGGGCCCTTACTATAGCTAGACATATAAGAGTGTACAACTATAATTTGGGGACATCACAATAGCTGTGTATATAACTGTAGAGCAGTAGTTGGGGGCCCTTACTACAGCTGAACATGTAACTATGAATAACTGGAGCTGGGGGGGGGGGCTTACTACAGCTGGACATATAACTCTGGAGAACTGTATGTGTGGCCCTTAAAGCTGGACATGTAACTCTGTAAAGTGGTAGTTGGTGGCCCTTACTACAGCTGGACATATAACTCTGGAGAACTGTTGTTTGGGGCCCTTCCAATAGCTGGACAATGTAGTTGGAGCCCTTACTATAGGGCTGGTAAGTAGGTCAATAAACAGTTCTATGGCTAATGCAGGTTTTATTGAGCCGTAGAACTGGTTGGTGACCTACTTACAAGCCCTATAGCTGGCCATATAACTATGAAAAACTAGTTGAGGCCCCTACTACAGCAGTAGTAGTTAAGGACCATTACTGTGCCAGGCCATATAACTAGAAAACTGTATTATTGGCCCTTACTCCAGCAGGCACAGAATATTTTAATTTGAATGGGCTAGACAGTTACAGAAAGTTGGCTAATAAAAGCAACGATTTAAAAATATTTTTTTTACATAAAAATGATAAGAACTTTAGATTAGATGACATGATGACAGTAACGTTTGGCAGTTTCAAAATAAAAGCAGTCTTCGTCTCTCTATATTATATATCAACGAAGTCTATACAAGATTTATACATCGTGTAGTATTGTAAAAAAAAATGAACACTGTCCTATTCTTCGCTCTCGCCTTATTCCTGACTTACATTTAAAATCAAGCTAGTCTTAAAACTTTCCACACCTAAAGCAATGAGTGACTAAAGCTGATACCAAACAACAATTTTACCAAACAATGTTTACCCAGATAGCCTTTTGTATGGCTCTGACTTGAACCAATTGTTAGTTTGTGTTATGGGTATGCCAGAATCAAGGCAGACTGTCTAATGAAATGACAACAGGTTAGAACTACCTTTCTAGCATGCGCCATTGATTTAGAAGCGGCAGTCTTAATGTATAATAAATTTTGAACATTATAGATCTAGTAGGTAGCCATAGCTTAGGCTATTCATTCTATCCTATCATATGCCTGATGTGACATAGGATGAAGGTCAAGACAAAGATGCAATCATAGAAGTAGCCTAATTTAGTAATAGATCTACGCCATATAAGGCCGAATGACATTTAATGAAAGAACTCACGGATCAAGCGCTTTATCTCTTCTGTGGAGGAAAGAACGGAGTCTCCTCTACCAGTTTCCGCATCTCCCGGTAGTCCAAGATTTCAGCTGTCTTGACAAACTTGCCACGAGCATACAGCCGGAACGTTGGCAGGTGTCTGGCGAACACGTTCTGCGACTTGCAAACCTCCGGGTACTCGACACAGTTGATGGCAGCGAAAATGTGACCCGCGTCTTTTTTCGTCGTCTGGGCGGCTTTGACAAAGTGCGGTTTGCACCTCTGGCACTCGGGGCAGGTGGGGTTGTAGAACATGACCAGGGCCACGTTCTGCTCCGTCAAGTAGTCCTTGAATGTGTGCTCCTGCAAGCCCATGACGCTCGGGGAACCCGAGAACTCATCCGGCTTCACTTTTTTCGCTAACCTGATGGATGGGGCCATGATCCGTTTCAATGTTGAGAAAGTTTGAATTGATTGATGTTCAAGAGCTGCTCTCTGATGATCCAATCTTTTAGAACATTTATTTTGATCTTAAACAGTTGATTATTTGATGTAAATATCTGCCATCATGGTGGAAAAAGATGCGCAGAAAATGATGACATAGTTCACGCTTATGACATCATTGTTGTTTGCGTTCAGTGCTTTAGTAACCAAAAACCATTGGAACGTATTATAAAAATAGTTCTAAAATTCGAGAAAATATCTTTGTGAAAATATAAACAGTTTATTTAAATAACTTTTATAAAAAATAGATTTATTTAAAATAAGACGCCTTTGGCAAATACTTTTCAGAAATAAGAAAACGAACCATCTTGTTTTACGGGAATTCCCAGAAGCAGTGCGCAAAACATTTTGTTTGAACGGCTCATGTCATTGGTTAAGGGCAATACCAACACAAAGAGAAGGTCAGGGGTGCGGACCTCAGCGGGTGATACCATCAGAGTTTCTTTCAGACTTTTTTCTCCAGGGCGGGGGGGGGGGGGGGTGGAGCACTTGAATCTTTCGGGTGGTCGGAGGGTGGGTGGCGGGCTAAATTATCCGGGTAAAAGTATATACTTTCTATATAAATTATATTTCGTGCTTCTATTTTAGGAGTGGCCTTTACTGATCCAAGGGAGTGCATCTAAAAGGGGAAGTTGTAATGAGAGTGTCTGCTTTTTCTAGTTAGTTTAATAGTTACGTGGATTATTAGACACAGTGTGACACCTTCAGGGATGGGGCGGGGGAAGTGGGGGTGACACCACAGGTTATAGGCTATCGATACACCTTTTCATTACATATCTTTCACGCAGAGGCGTAGCGACCCTTCCCGGCGCCCGGGGACATACTTTCAATTTGGCGCCCCTTCGGGAGCAAATTTTCGATTTGCACCCCCCCCCCCTCAAACTTTCGATTTGCACCCCCCTCGAACTTTTCATTTGCACCCCCTCCCCGCAAACTTTCGATTTGCACCCCCCCCCCCTCGAACTTTTCATTTGCACCCCCCCTCAAACTTTCAATTTGGCGCCCCCCCGCCCCCCCCCCCCCCTCGCTACGCTACTGCTTTCACGAAATTTAGTGGAATGCAGATTTAGTGCACTCACTAGTCTAATGTTTTTTCCTGTACAAAATGAAGAGAGTTATTCTTCTCATTTACAAACTGAGAAGGGGATGCGACATTTTTTACCCATCCCTACCCCATACAACGCAATATATTAATTCCGAAGATTACCACACTTATTTTATATAACCTTTTCTTTACCCACCACCCCACACTTATAAAAAAAAATTAAACCACCACCCCATACATTATACAACATATTAAACCACCACCCCACACATTATACAACATGTCCCTGTGTCCCCCACCCCACACATTATATAACATGTCCCTCTGTCCACCACCCCTAATACACCAGGTACAAGTCATTGAATCGTAAGAAAACTATTATGAGCAGTTCTTTTTCTTCTTCGTTCTTAATTTTTAGTGTTGGAAGGGATCGAGCCTTATCTGCCAGAGGGTTTGAACTCGCGATTTTTTATCAACCATGAGCTTTTTTG